AAAAGAGGAAATCAATAACTTTTGTAGCTTTAAGGATTCATCTATATTTAATTCAGAATTTAGTGTTTGATAACTTCAATTTCAATTTCTATATTTCTGCTGAAGGGCACAGGTAAATATGACATTTATTATAATGGGTTTATGTGATATTAAAAAATGTACTGTCTTTATGTTAAAATTATTGCAATATTAAATTATATTTAAAAATGTAATGTTAAGTGGGATTAATCGTGATTAGTTTCAGAAAAATGTGTGATTAATTAGTTAACTTTTTTTTATCGATTGACAGCACTATTATATATATATATATATATATATATATGTGTGTGTGTGTGTGTGTGTGTGTGTGTATATGTGTGTGTGTTTGTGTGTGTATATATATATATATATATATATTTGGTGTTATTATGCGTGGGAAAGTGAACAACACTTGTGTTTACTGTATGTGCTTGGCATGAAGGCTTGCACACTGACTGTTTTGAGGAGACAGCTGATTGTGAGTCATTCATTTGCTGCTCTGATTGCACTCACTATACACGATTACACTTCATGCTCACTCTTGCTCGTATCGAAGGTATATTATCACCACTGCCTGATTAAGTGCGCACCCGAGTCTGAGTTGCTTTCACATTCACGCGAACCGCGCCACAGTTCCATTGCAGCCGAACTCAGACCACCTCCTTCAGGTAGTCTCGGGTTCAGTACCCCGGTGCACACCCAGGTCCGCATGACAGCTTTCACATTACCATTTTTTCTTTTTCTTTTTCGAACTAAACTGCCAGTGTGAAAGCCCCCTAAAATGCTTTCACTGTGAATTGCTTTCATTTGACGCAAGTAATACAGGGGGATCGACTTTATGATATCAGATACTTTACTCGCAGCTGATTGGTCCAGCTATGGTTTGCAATCTCTTACACAGAACAAAACTTGCAGTGCAGCAGGTTAGCCATGTAGCATATAGTTAAAGCGACTAACTTTGTGATAAGGGTAATTGTCCTGTTGGAAGGTAAACCTTTGACCCTGTCTGTGGTCCTAAGCTCTGGGCTCTGGGTGTAAATTAATCCATCAGACCCTAAATGAAACAACAGCAGCGGAGTGGAAAGCGATGCATTTGAATCTTGCGCAAACAACAAAATTGGATCTTAAACCTTCAAATAACACACCTATATTTGTGGCTCTTTACATTACAGAAACCACACTTCAAAACCTGCAACAAATGCTAGACATGCATGACATATATAGGCCTGATAGTCTGATTCTGTTCAAACAGCAGGGCTTTGCTGAAAATGTGGTTGCGAGAATGTGGATGTCAAGCTTGCGAGTACCACATTTATTTCCTTATTCATTCGTGTTTCTTTATCACTATAATGTGTCAATACCAGTTAAATGCCGAGCACGCCTACGAGAGACCGATCTCTTTCCCCGTGCATGCACGCTGGCATCCTTGAGGGTCCGGGAAGGGAGTATGGAGGGATTCCCACGCTGCCAGAGATGTGAGCTTCTGGAACTGCAGTCCAGAGTGCAAAGTGCACGTGACGCCATCAGACCCCCTGTTTATTTTGGACACTCCATCTCCTTGGACACTTTATTCCCTGTTTTTGACATTTTATGTTTTATTTATGTGGAAAAAAATTTAAACGTAAAGTCGGCAACACCAAAGCTCCAAAAGTATCAAAAATGTATATATGTCGCATAGCATGTGTGACGTTTCGAGCACGCAGGCTCTTCATCAGACAAATGAACAACACTGATGTACCACTCTTTATACCTCCAGGTGATCAAAGGTCACATGACCATACAATATTATCATGATAATAATAATACCAAAACAATAACATATCAACCAAGGAGAAAAACAGAGAAAAAAACTAACAAAATACAATTCTCAATGTATAATTCAACAACATTAATTGATACCTGCCTATGTGCATAAATTCAACTAATAACCACAAAACCTTTATTACATTATAGACCTTAAAAAAAAAAA